TATTCTGCGAATTCTTTTTAGAATTATTCTGTTTTTTTTTCTTTTATTTATATGTAAATTGGTTTTTTTTTTAGAATTATTTTACAAGTTACCCAATCTAATTTTATTTGTTGTTTTTAATTAATAATTATTTCACAAAATATTTCTAGTTCTTTGTAAGTTACAATTTACAAAGTATATCCAGTAAATATCAGATATTTAGTTAACAAAGTATTACTGTAACTTTGCCGTTTTATGTGATTTATTTTACAAATTTATCTAATCCATTTTTATTTTGTTCTATTAAATATCTTTCTAAAGAATTATTTTAACAAATTATCTTTAATTGTTTTGTCCTTTCATGTGATTTATTTTTAATCATTATTTTACAAATTACCTAATCCATCTTCGTTTTATTTTCGAGTCAATTTTTATTTATAATGAATCATTTAATAAAGTATTGTTAATTGTTTCGTTTAGTTTTATATCCGATTTATTATTGAAAATAATGAAATGTATTGTGGTAAGAATTTAATTCACTTGTTTAAGATTTTATAAAATATGTTCCGTGAATAAATACACAAAGGATATTTCACTTAATTAAACGTTACTGATGAAAATCCAACTATCCATCTTCTTTGATTTTGTTCCGTTTCTTTGAACTGGCCTCTTGTCCAAAAGTCGGTCACAATTATAAGCATCGCAATATATAAAGGTTGCATAGCTTTCTGTTGAGAGAATAGTCATTGAATAAATCCGTCTATGACGTCACATTGATACTCACTTAAGCGATTAATCGATACAAATATGTAGTAAATCACGACGATGGTGTGGCAATTTACTTTCCATATCTACTTACGCATACGTTCACGTATTTTGATAATTGCTCGCTTCCAAACATGATTACAAATGAATAAATTTTTACAGCTAATTTCTGAAACACATAATTTTACAAAATTAAAATCAAATTTCTAATTTATTTTATAATACGCAATATAAACACAATATGCTTGACCTAATTTAATTTTGTTATAAAAATTTTCTAAACCAAACAATTATTTTATATTATTATATTATTTACAATTATAATATTGTTTTTCTACAAAATTTTCGTACGATATAAATTTACAGAATTAACAAAAATTTTGTTAACAGACGTATACAATTACTTATGTGTGAAAATTGATGTGAATTTAAATTACCATAAATAAGCGAGCGTCATACTTTCATTGTCATCTTGATTAGAGTGAATCAATCCTTTAGTCTTAGAATTATATGCGTTAAAAGTGAATAGAAAGTTGTAGGTGGTCGGAATCATATCGCGGCCTTAGTGTTGACTTAATGTTAATGAAACTAAATGGGTCAAGAACGTTTAGTTGTACGCTCTAATCGTTCCCGATAGCGAACTACTTTTGTTTCACGCACCACGCTAAACGCTTTACATCCATATGTATTATTATGCATGTATGCAAGTACATAAGTAGATACTTTTACTTACTAACCATATATATACTTAAGACATAATGCAACCTCTTGCACTCTGATTTTCGTTGATGTAAATTCGGACGATGACGTCGTAACTATTTCATTAACTATACTTGTCATTCATTATAGTCTAACACTCTTGCGTAAGTAAATATATTTCTTAGAAAATTTTTTTACATCCGTACGATGAAATATTTTGCAAAATATAATTATTCCTAATTATATATAAATAAAATTAGAGCAAAATAAAAAAGTTAATTTGATATTTTGTAAAATAATTTGAAACAATATACAATATGGGTAAACCAAAATATTTGCACATCTCACTTTCTTGAAATTCTTCGTTAAGTTTCCGCATACGCGAATTTTTTTCACCTGACCAAAAAGTATTGTGAATTTACTTTTATCAAAAAAAAAAAAAAAAAAAATTAAAAATATACATGATTTCAAAGTTTCATTGGTATCCGTAAGTATGTTTTTGCAAATTTCCATCGTTACAATGTTTTTTCTCGGTCAAGATCACTTTTATTTAAAAACAAATAGAAGTTCGTTTTCGTTGAGACTACGAACTTTTCAATCCATTCTAGTATACATACACACACATGTGTATGTTTAACTTTTTTTTTTTGTCTCAATGAAAACAATTTCTTTGTACATCGACATTAAGTTTTAGTTCAATATTATTTTTTTTCTCTATCATAATTTTTTATTTGTACATTTTAAGCTCGTTGATAGGTCAAAGACCTTTTAAAAGAGAAGAGAATCTAGAGCATCTACATATGTTTCGTTACTCTTTTAAATCTAACACTTTTAATTCTAACAATTAGAAATGTTTGCAATGTTATCAAGGTTGTGCCTTTTGGTCCATTAATTTGTAAACCTTTAGAGAATTCCGGTGCCTTAACCTTGGTAATCTTAGAAATACGTCTGGAATTGCGCCAATTTTCTGAATGAACAGTTAGAAGTTTAAATGGTCTATCTTAGTCAGTGTGTCAAGTCTGTTTATATCGAGTCGAGTCGAAACATGTTAACTTAAGACGATATTTTTGGGATCACTATGTTATTGTACTTAAATTTGTTAGGAGAGAGTGCAATGATCTATAATAGTAATCAGATTGGATTTACAATACCAATTGAAAGTTTGTATACATCTATTGCATTTGAATTATACACTTATCTTAAGTATAATTTGAGAAACTCGACAAGATATCGTCAAATGTTATACGTGGAAACATTGAGAAAGAACTTTCAATTACTAACCAAGTATAATTTGAAGACTCAAGAGATATCATCACTACGCATTCATCTATTCTACAAACTATAAATTTCATTTCGTTCAAGCTCAAGAGAAAACTTGTGAGACCTTCCAAATAATAGTTGAAACAATTTGCGAACAAATTACAAATTGCAACAAATTAGTTACAATAATGTCAACATTGTGTTAAATATTTTCTACGTAATATTTAATAATCTTTTACCAAATTATTCGATCATGGTCAGTTGTTTTAATTTTATATCTAAGTAAATCAAATGTTTTTATATAAATTTAAAAACAAAGGAAAAAAATTATAAAACATTTGGGAAATATAAATTCTAATAATTTAATTTTTCACATACGATTACGTATATTGAAAATTGTGATCTATAATATAGACAAATAGGAATAGACTATAATTCAAAATTCGTATAAATACTTTCTAACAGAGTAGACAAGTTGGTTAAGTTTTATTCCCATCATCGTTAATGTCATAGCCAAATAAAATGACTTTGGTAAATACGATTTACGAGTTTTGCAATGTGGCAAGAAAGTGTAAGGAGAGTCAACGAGCTCGTTTTTCAAATGGATCGATTATACATGACTATACTTTACGAGACATATTCGTTCATGAGTCCAAGGAACTTCTTATCGAATGTCATTGATCAAATCATACAGCCGTTCTCATCCATTAACTCTCCTTGCGTATGCATGTATATCTATTTGTTATAGACTCAACGAGTATAACGACACTTCTATATTTGCTTATGTTAGTTCCTTATCAGAAAGGCACGCATGAGCAAAAGTTTCATGCAATATTCTGGCTCACCTCCAAAAACCACTCCCATCTGTTAGAAAATCGAGATGCAATAAGGTCGAATCAATGCTATCACGATTAATACTCTATTATATTTGCATTTGACGCTTCAATCATTTTTTCATTCCTAGCACATATTTTCATTGACATTGTAGTCATTCTTATCTTGTGTAATACGATTCATTTACAAATTGATTTAATTGTATCACGTTTCTCGAACTGCGTTTAATAGAGATAAGTATGTGTTATGATTTTATAAGAGTAATTGATATTCAACATTGATAATCTTTAATCATTTTATAAACGTATTGATTTACTTTACTTAGAATTAATGAAATATAATTTTATCGTTATTCTAACAGGACCTAATGTATTTAGATTATTCTATATTCTATCTTGCACATGACTATAACATAGAATTTATTTATCATCTTATATACTATAAAATATATATATCATAAGTTACCTGTTATATGTACGATGTAACTAAATCATCAGATATAATTTTATTTTAGATGTCAAATCGATTGATTCGAGGATGTAATAAGCATCGTTCCAGTCTGGTAAATTCCATCAATATTATAATAGGATAGAATTGTTGTAGAGAGTAAGTGATCCGTGAATAAACGATTTCTTAATAGACGAATTAATTAGGAATATTAATAAAGAATCTAGTAAATCGTGTTTGAAATATATTAAGAGTTAGAAAGAATGTTGTAAGTCAAGCATAGTTAAATAATCCACATAGTTTTATAATTCGTTTCACATGCAGATATGCAATTAGTAGCAATGTAATGTTCCGTAACATCTGGCAAAAAAACAATAGTTTTGCCAAGTTAACTATGTATGCTTAGAACACGTCATCGTATCTACTTTGGATCGACTTCAAAGTTACGTTCCGTTCATTAAATGCCCACATAATTCGTCATTAGACCATCAGCGTTCTCGGAAGATGATGGAATCCGACGATCTTGTGTAATGTCATCAACTTGCTCTTTGAATGACATTGTATTCTCTTGTAATTCGCTTAATGAGAAACACAAGATGGAATGTAGATATTTCAAATAACTTCACAATAATTTACAAGAAAAATGATTATTACTTAATTGTTTAACAAAATTTCTTAAATATTAAATCTTAAAGAATTCCTTACCTTTTTCATGTATAGTGAAATAATTATTAATAATTAGTTACGTTTGATTAATACGTTTTTTAAATGAGTAAGCATTGCACCTGAAAATATGTAACCCTTTATACTTCATCGGTAATGTCGCATGCAACACATCTTGAAAACATCTTTGCCTATTATTAGGGGTTCAAAATTTGTTTAGAACTTTGATGTATGACGTGTTGCCTAAATTTATGCATCGCATATTTTTATATTAAAATATCTTTTATTTGATGTTAATTTATTTCGAATATATAAAAATGTTGTATTAACAAAAAAGAAACATTTTTTTCCAGGATGTGGATCTTCGCGGTGGTTGCTCTGACGTATTTATCGTCGTTCGCAAAAGCTATACCAAATTATTCTGGACTACCTCCTGGTCCATATTGTGCTACGAAATATCCGGCAAATAGATGTTGTCTGGGAAGACAAGATGACTGCAGTGCACCGATCATAGGGACAACATGTTATTGCGACGATTTTTGTGACCGAGAAAGAGAAGAAGATTGTTGTCCAGATTATTATTCCCATTGCAAAGGCATAACGCTACCTATACTGGAAGAGGTCAGACGTAAGTTCTTTGCGTGTTCCAATCTAAATATAAATAATTGTATTAATTATTTTCATATTTCTCATATTTTTCATTCTTCCAACGTTCATCAACCTTTCTTCATTTTACAGTTTGCTCGCACAATGGAAAGGCTTACAATCACAGCCAGATCTTCTATGACAACTGTAATCAATGGTAATTATAACATTATCATTTATTTCAAAATTTAAAATAAATCTTATTGAAAATAAAAAAAAGAATAATTATATGATCTTGAAATTTTCAGTAAATGTTCAGAGTTAGGCAGAAAAGCAGAAATTCGTTGCGAAGAGAATCGATGCTTGATCGAGCCAGACTTTGTAAAGGAACTCGATTTAGAGAGTAACACATTAGGATGGACTCCTGGAAATTATTCGCAATTTTGGGGAAAGACACTTCAAGAAGGAATACGATATCGATTGGGTACACTCAATCCATCGCAATCGGTACAAATATAATTGGTTATAGTTGTTGAAATATCGTTATTAAAACAAAATATCATATTATTATTATTATTAATATTTCATTTAGATTTATAAAATGAATCCTGTGCGACGTATTTACGATCCCGAAGCACTTCCACGTAGTTTCGATGCAAAGTCACATTGGCCACGCGACATATCAAAAATTCACGATCAAGGATGGTGCGGTGCATCTTGGGCAATATCAACAGCTGATGTTGCATCCGATAGATTTGCAATAATGAGCAAAGGTGCTGAAAATGTCGAATTAAGTGCGCAACATCTTCTCTCGTGTAATAATCGAGGCCAACAAGGTTGCAACGGTGGATATTTGGATCGTGCTTGGTTCTATATGAGAAGATTCGGGTAAACAAAATGATTCGTGTTTATTTGAAAATTCCACATGATAAGCTATTTGAAAAGTATGACTTTCTCGTTCTATATTTACCAAGTAAACAATAATTTGTTCACTTTTTTAGATTAGTCGACGAGGATTGTTATCCTTGGACCGGTAGCCAAGATCTATGCAGATTACGAAAGAGAACAAATCTTCGTGCAGCTGGATGTCGAAATCCACCTTATCATCATAGAAAGGAATTATACAAAGTGGGGCCTGCTTATCGTCTTGGTAACGAGACAGACATCATGCAGGAAATTTTAACTTCCGGACCTGTACAAGGTAAAAGAGACAATTGCTTATATTATACATGTGTTAATATTTCGAAACAAACTTTATTCTCGTGTTCGGTTATTTTTAAAACGATCTTATCAAATTTCAGCAACGATGAGGGTCTATCAGGATTTCTTCACTTATCGATCAGGTATTTATCGACATTCTCGAACCGCTGAAATGTATGAATTTGGATATCATTCGGTGAGAATTATTGGATGGGGTGAGGATTATCATCGTGGCAGACTGGTCAAATATTGGGTGAGTATTACTCGATAAAATCATTTTATAAACATTTACCGTTTAAATCATCGTATATATTATTTTTGTTGATTTTAGACCGTAGCTAATTCTTGGGGTTACGATTGGGGTGAAAATGGTCTCTTTAGGATTCTAAGGGGAACGAACGAATGTGAGATAGAATCTTATGTACTCGGAGTTTGGGCTGAAACTCTAATATTATAATATCGATTATAATATTAAGAGATATTGCTGACAATAATAACCATGTGAGACATTTGATCATGATCACTGAACAATATCGGTGCATTTATTATTTCGTCGAGTTATTAAATGATAGAACACAAAATGATAGAACTTTTTCTTTGTAAAACTTCTAATTTGTTATCATGTTTTCTCTTAAAAAAAAACAATGCAAAATTATAAGCCGCTATAGTTAAGATTATAGCAATGAAAATGTATCAAAGTATGAGTTTTAGCATTAAGATCACACAAGTACAAGCAAAACAATACAGACTACAGGGATATGTTCGAAAAAAAAAAGAAAAAACCATAATTCCTTATGTCAAATAGATAATCGTACGTACAATGTACCAAATCAATCACCGTCAACTCAGGTTTACACCTATTATATGTAATATGTATTTTAAGAATCATGATTATATACGTTATATATATATATATATATATATATATATATATATATATATATTACAATATATTGTTATATTGTAACAAAAAATGTACTGCCAATTTGTAACGATTTCTAAGGACTGTGCGTGTGTAAGTCGACGACACATTTTTAAACGCATTATCTTCAAATAATTTTGAAGTTTCTATCCATTGAAATCACGCTCAAAATTATTTGATCGACTGCTTGTTCTACGCCAATATTACTTTTACTTTTACTTATATTATGATTAGTTTAAAAAATTTCACTTTCATCGTAGTACATGGGTGAGCTGAAAAGTTTTGAGTCCAACAGAAAATTTTCCTTCGGTCAAACTTTGTTTGTTTCTTTTTTTTTTCGCTTTTTTAAATATATAATTTAAATTATATAAAATATATTTTTTGTAAAGAAAATAAAAGTTGTTTCTTTGTTGAGCCTTAAAACTCTTCAACCCCCAATCCTCGTAGGTAAATTTAATATCTTAATTCGCAACACACGAATTTTGTGTTTTCTGCTTTTACTGATATGTAGATTATTATTAATATTATTCTTTGTTTTATTATTATTAAATAATTATTATCGTTTTAATAATTATAAATTAAAAATGAATGTAACTTAAATGTAAACTTGATTGTATACGAATTTCATATTTTTTACTCGTATATATGTGCATATATACATATATGTATAATTGTTGTACATATCATACATTTATATGTATATATATACATATATATGAAAAATTAGCTTTCATACTGTTTTATCTAATTAAGCGAGTCAGTATTTAAGTACAATATTAGAATTCTAAAGACGAAGTCATTGAAATATTTTTGTTATACGCAACGCCACGACTTTCTTTTCTAATCATGTGCCCCCCTTAGTTAAAATTTTATAGTTAATATTAAACATGTCGTTTTACTCCTTGTGTATGTCCCTTGTAAGTTATTACATCATTATTTTTGAAATAAAAGAAGCGATAAGCACATCAAATACTTATAATTATAATTGTAATTTTATTTTAATTATACACGCACACACATTCACGAATATATTGAAAATTTGATTACAATAACAATTTTTAAAATGTTAAACACAATATTGTAAATAATATTTAAATTAATTTTAAGTGATTTTGGGTCTATCAAAAGCCGCAGATAACTCGTGCGAGTAATTTAAAAAGACCAATTGTAATGTAACATTTACAAAGGAACAAAGTTGGCAAATAATAATTATCATTTTTATATATAATAATAATAACAATTATATATTTTATACAACGACACTTCGTCTAGTACTTTTGCAATGAGGACTATAAATTTCTAATTTATCTTTCGGAGTATTCATAGCGGAATAATCGATTGGAAAAGGAATACTGTTTCCACGTGCAACACAAGAGTCTGTCATACCAAGAAAATGTTCACCTGGTCCGAAAGGACCACGTCCAAACAAAAAATTAGCGAACACTAATTGGTACTGCGGCCAAGCAAGAGGATGATCTCCATTCTGGAAAAAAGACCTAAATCAAAAACTGATAATCTCTTTTTATTTTTCATCATCGTATAAGAAATTCAATTAATTTTGGTCCACTCACAGAGGTCATAGAATTATAGGCAAAGTCAAGACAATTTTTAATTCTGTCCGAATCAAGGCCAACTACGGAACCATAAAAATTAGCAATCTCGTCCTTGCTGATCCTTCCATTTCCATTACCATTAATAGCAAGAAAAAATATTCTAGGTATCATTTTAATCCAAAACGGTAACTCTTTATAACTCGCCCCATGAACTGGTGCTATTATTTGCGCCCACCAAGATAACCAATCATCCAAATCGATTTTTCTCATTTCTTCCGTCTCGTTTTTCTTTTCAGGAAATATTAAAGAAGCTAATCCTTTCTCGACTTCCAATAAACGTAAATATTCTGGACCGTTCCATGACCAATCAGCAAATCTTCGTAATTTCTTTAGAAATAGCATTAAATTCCAATCATATACTTTCTAAACTTCGAAGTTAACGATAAAAATGAAAAACAAAAATCATTTCTTTGTATAAAAATACTACCTCGGATAGCATCCCGAAATCCTTTCTAGTAATAAAACCATCCTTGTCGTGATCCAAAAGATGTACAAAGAAATGTGAAAGTTTGTCACGCTGTATAGGCGCCAAAGCTTTCAAATGTCCATGTTTATCTAAATCTTCGATCGCTGTTAAGCTATCGTCGCTCGGATAACGACTCACCCAAGTTGCTGTTAGTTTTTGTATTACGCGATTACTATTTACGATTGTATATAGAAAGCTAAATTGAATTTTAAAGAAATAATAAAAATAAAAAAATCTTTGTTGAACTTACTCCAAACGTGTACACTCCAGCCAGGATGTTCAATTTCTTTGGTAGCAATAGTGGTTGCAGTAAGTTCGTCGACATTGCTTGGTACCGTTCTCCATCTCTTTAACAAATCTTTTGTTTTATCACGGGTTCGATCGCAAGCTTGCCGCCAATTAGCAATAAATTTTCTTGGTACTTTGAGCGAGGCGCTCTCGTCCAAACTAAGTTCTTGACTACCACCAGAACTACGCGCGCTTGATTTAACATCGTTGCTTACTTCCAAGTTCTCCGAGCCAGATGGATAATAAATCGGATCCTTTATGCTACCTGAACGAGTCTCCATGACGAACTACCTCGCTATTCTCGACTCTTCAGGGTAACTCCCCTAAAATAATCAATTCCTCGGTGAGAGGTCACCAGGTCGCTCGATAATGTGTCGTGCTGTCGTTCTAACACGCATCCCTGGTCCATCTTTCATTCATGGCCAACAATATACCTAAGTCAGCCAACGTTTTCAGGTCATTTCAAAAATTTTAATGACATTCTTTGGAAATTATTTTCCTTATCGAGCTCATTTTATATCGTTGACTTCATTTAAAGAAATTAGAAATGATTTTAGAAATTTGTTAATTGTTATTTAATTATTGAAAATATAAGAATTTAATCGATAGTATAGTATCGTATATTTGATCTAATCATTAATTAAAACGATTGCCAAATTATTTTGTTGTCATATTTTAGAATTATATCTATACAATTAGCCTGACTAATGTAATATGATTTATTATATTATTTTTAGTTGATAAAATATATTTTTTTTTTAATTAATAAATTTTTATAAATAATTTTTCGTATTTTAACATTTTTATACATAAATTATTAAGAATAACTTAAGTAAATGAATTTTATTAACAAATTACGTATATAAATATAATTTCAAATTAAAAGTATTCAAATCATTAAAATTTTTTAAATTTCGCTCAAATATTTTCAAAATAAAATTATCGACGGTCGATAAGAATATTATTTTAATATAGAGAGCGTTAGTAGGGCATGAAAGATAGGTATGCCATCTATAACTCTGTTCATTCAGTGTCCCATTCCTCCATATTCAAGCGGATGGTCTTTCTTTCTGTATAGCGTGCAGGGTGAGTGGCATTCATTAAAAATCGTTTTATATCGTGAACATCTTAAATTTGATTTCAATTAAAATATTACAAAATTTATTCTTAAACGTTATCGTATTATTTATTATTATAATTTTGTGTTATTAATCTTCCAAATAATATTTTTCTTGTTACAACTAAAAAGTTAACCTTCAATACATTTTCTTGCATCCATACTCTTTTATTCTCGATAAATCGTTGTATTTATTACATAAATAAATATTTCCCTCTTTCTTAAATTATTATTATTATTATAATAAACGAATAATTTCGATGAATTATTATATTTATAATTTGCAATTGGTTTAATTATTTTTTTATGTTTTATAGGAATTCACGATGGGTGCATATAAGTATATGCAAGAATTGTATAGAAAGAAGCAAAGCGATGTACTGCGTTTTCTGCTGCGTGTTAGGTGTTGGCAATATCGCCAATTAACCAAAATGCATCGTGCACCCAGACCATCCAGACCTGATAAAGCTCGCCGTTTAGGATACAAAGCTAAACAAGGTGAGATCTTATAACAACGTGGTGAGACCTACATAATAATGTTTACTGATTTTTCACTATAAAAACGATTTTCCAAAGACATTTTAGTATTATTTAATTATAAATGTTAAATTTGTAAATTACAGTGTCGAAAAGATTTGTAGTTTTTTAAATAATTTCTTCCAAGTATTTGAAATATATTTTCAATTCAGCAGTCATGGAGATACATATCCAATGATTTTTTTTTTAGATGTGGCTCCTTTAATACCGCACTCTTTCTGCTTTGGGGGATGAAATTGATTCCATGACTGCTGGTAAACATAAGATTATAATAGAGAATAGTAATATTCAAAAATATGGTACTAAATTGTCTTCCAATATTTTCAATGATGATAAATCATGCACCACTCTTACAGTATCATGGTGATGGATTTTTAGTATTCTGATTATCTTGTTCCTAACTTCGATATATTATTGAAATCTTTATGATCTTTATAAGTAAAAAAAGATATTTGTTTTTCAAATTACAGGCTTTGTTATCTTCAGAATTCGTGTGCGTCGTGGTGGACGCAAACGTCCAGTACCTAAAGGTGCAACTTATGGCAAACCTAAAAGCCATGGTGTAAATCAACTTAAACCTACCAGAAAATTACAATCTGTTGCTGAAGTAAGTATATTCTTTTTAATTTGATATATTTCTGTTTTTCACAGCTAACGAATAAATAAATTAATTAATATTTATTTTAATACTTCCAGGAACGTGTTGGTCGTCGTTGCGGTGGTTTAAGAGTATTAAACAGCTATTGGGTAGCTCAAGATTCTTCTTACAAATATTACGAAGTCATCTTGATTGATCCAGCACATGGGGTAATTTTATCTTTTCAAATATTTATTAAACAAAGAGAAAAATTTATTTACATAATTTCATGATGATAACATATTAAAATAGTGAAATAAGATGATATTTAATCTTCCTTGGATGTCTGAATTAATTCATTCAAGTATTTATAGAAAATATTTCTATAAAAACAAATTATAATAATTGTTTTTGTTGTACTTTGTTTTAGGCTATCCGAAATGATCCTAAAGTTAACTGGGTATGTAATGCAGTACATAAACATCGTGAACTTCGTGGAAAGACCTCAGCTGGTAGGAGTTCGCGCGGCTTAGGTAAAGGTCATCGTTATTCACAAACTATTGGCGGATCACGAAGGGCTGCGTGGCTTCGAAGAAACTCTCTTTCGCTACGAAGAAAGCGATAATTATTTTTTATTGTTTACCATCTACATCATTGAAAAACACGATACATCATTTTATTGTATATTCGTATTATTTCAATATAATGGTGTATCTTGTGAAAAATAAATGTCTCTTTCTTAAAGATCTCCAATTACCCTTCGACATAATTAAATAAATTTTACTATTTGCAATTTTTTTATAAAATAATTATAATTTATACTGGTAATAGATTTAAAAAAAAACGGAAAGGAAAAATATGAAAGAAAACAGTAGTAAAAATTTTGTAATGAATTTTTGCTTTTTTATTCACATACATTTAAAAACAATAATCTTAAGATAATTTTATTGCCCGGGACCAGATAACGACTTATCCATAAACTTCTTCTTTGCAAAGCAAAGCCACCATTTGCTAGGTTTTCCATCCTTTCCGTACACTTTCTCTACCAATCTCGATGCAGTTTCTTGTCTAATTTGTTGTAGATATTGTCTCATTAAATCTACAAAAGTTATTTATTAATTTATGATTAAATAATTAGACGGAAATTTTGATGATATATTTACCAGCTTCTGCAGGAGTATTGGGTTTAGCATAGACAGAATTTAATGGAAAACCAGGGTCACCAGGTATATCGAATTTAGAAATTGCAAGGGAAAACATTTCACTTGTCGCTTGATTCTGATTAGCACATTTTTGTAACCTTTTCAAGCATTCAGTAATATACAATGTAATATAAATTAAAACTCTATCAGCTTCGCTCTGTAATAACAATAACAAGAAAATCAATATAATATAAGAAATATGTAAATAATTAATACAGTAAGTGAATGATTGATTAATGAACAGTTTAGATAGCAAACATCATCTATGAATAGGTTATGATCCTTAACTGACCCCTCATTACAATATAATAAAAAATTGTTCGTTCGAAATACCTTAATTTCATATGTCCTAAAAAATACGTTAGCTTTGAAGAAATTCAACGCTTCATCAATTATATCTATATCCTTATTATTTAAAGGCGGCGCAGGACCTCTAAATTCGGTTTTAATTGGTAGAAGGGCCATGTTGCCGATGGTTGCATTACTTTCTGTGAAACTAGAGTGATAGGCCTGAAATAATTAAAGTACATGTAAAGTATAATCATTAAAATTAGACAAATATGATTATAACCATGTTTCAATGTAATAATCGACGATAATTATAATACACACGATTGAATTGATTTCCCATTCCATTGGTATTAATATAGCGATTATGTAATATCGCAATACTTTATTAATTTGTTTACTAATAGCTTAGAAAAAGAAAAATTAGGTAAGTAATGTCAAGTATAGTTTTGTTTATCGTAATGACACGGGTGACACCCATTTTATCGCTTGACTTCTGTAGTCTTGGAATAAAATGTATTTTAATATATCGTTACTTACAGGCATCTTGGAAGATTTTAAACAAGTACTTATTAAATTCTTTTATGAACGTTTGTTTTTTCTCTACATATCACGAAAAATATTTCCTATCCTTACGATTAATGACAGGAAATAAGATAAGTGTCAGACATTTTTGAATCATCGTCTCAAGCCGAATTCTGAACAACATCCATGTTTGTATCTGATGCCATCTACCGTTAGATTTAGGAAAAAAGATAATGGATGCAATCAGTAAGAAACAAAACTACATTTACTATTGCACTATGGTCTTATTTCAATATTACTTTCAAACTTGAATTGTTCTAAATATATTTGTTACGCTTGTTGTATTTATTTATGACAATAATTACAGTGATGATGTGTTTTTAAATTGTTAAAAATGGCCGATGCACGTACACAAGAAGATGTGCTTTCTCAAATTGAATATGCATTTCCTATTATCAAAGGAGAGGTATATCATTTTAATATTTACTGTTGTTTTTATTATTCATTCTTATTGTATAATAATTGATACATTTTGTTTATCAGATTCTGAATAATTGTACGGATGAACAATTTACTACCATAATTGAACAAATAAGATTGTTAAAGCTGACTAATTTTGTTAAGGATATTGTTATTCATCACATCGAATATTATATTCGTCAGAAAGTAGCACCAGCTTTTTGGAAAAAGTTCATCAATACTACAAATGAAGCAGAAGGCTTTGAATTGTTCAAAAGCGCTATCGATGGTCTTTATGTCAGCTTAACTGAATTTTTACCTCTCTTAAAAAAATTGGAATATTTGGAGCAAGAAGAATCAGAAAATACTACATTTGAAGCTGATAATGTATTGGCTAGATTTAAACTCATCGTTAGGTCTACTTTGTTAAGTCAATTGCCGTTGGACTATGAACATATAATAGAACAATTTTATAGAATCGCATTTAATGTATTCTGTTATTCAGATAATAATTCGTTACATGGTAATAATTAAAAATATTATTAAAACCCCTTACGCTGTAGTCACACATGAAAGTGTATGACAAGAAAGTGAACACAAGAAAGTGAATTTTATGAGTCAAACATACTAAACACGAAATGAAGCACACATTTTAACATATAAATCAGAGTGTTCAATATTATAGCGTAAAGGATTAAATTATTACAACTCCGTACATTTAATTTATCATTAAATTAAATATAATGTTTATTATTTTAGATTCAAGTGGAAGCGACACTTCACAATGCGGTGGCTGTAATCAAGAAATAGATAAATGCCAATGTCAGATGATAGTATATATGTTTCATGAAACTAATAGGAAATTAATTGAACTAGAATTATTAGAGAGATTAGTAGGCAATGTACTTACATCGTTGATACATATTCGTATCAAATGCCATGTTAGCGAAACATGTGACAGAGTATTCGATGTATCTCAACTTAAGCCATTGGAAAATGTAAGTTATACTTTCAATGAAATTTGTATTAACTGCTTGTACTATAATGATATGTGAGACTCATGATATGCTTTACGGTCCAAACACAAAATACATGAGACCTACTTATGTTACATCTTATGGGCCAAATTTAAAAAGCACGAGTCTTACTTGTAAATATGGTCTGCAGGTCCATACATTAAATCACAAAAATGAATCATTTAATATTTTATTTTAGTGGCTTGAAACTGTTGTTATGAATTGGTTGATAAGGATATATTCTGGAGGATTTTCAAAAACTGTTTCTTTAAGAGATGACATTCGTGAAGCTGTTATTAAATTTAAAAGGAAATTGTCTTATTATTTATACGAGACATATACAAGGATTAGAATCGATCAACTTTTTAATATCATTATAGGTAAATTACAATTCTAGTAGAATATTTCTTATAAATATGTTTATCTCAGAAAATAAATTTTTAATGTTTAGATAAAATTGTTATTTACATTTAAAAAATGTGTATTCTTAGAATATCCTGATTCACAACCTGCAATAGATGACCTTCGTGTTTGTTTGGACAGAACGGATCTACGCAAAGTTTTGATAGAAACACTGCAAGAAGCACTTAAGACTAGACTTTTACATCCGGGTGTCAATACTCCGGATATTTTAACTGCATATATTGCTGCTATCAAAGCTTTGAGACAATTGGATTCAACAGGGGTGCTTCTTGAAACTGTGACAGAACCCATTAAGTAAGTTATATTTTATTTATATTGAAAAGGATATTAAATTATTTATTTTTTTTTTTTACAAATAAAATTATAATCAAATTAATTGTATTGTACTATTTCTCGAATGAAGAGTCTATTTGAGAAGTAGAGAAGATACCGTAAGATGCGTTGTTAGTGGGTTATTAGACGATTCACCTAGTGATTTAGCTGATGAATTAGTGAAAGGAGAATCCTTACAATTGGATGATGGTTCTGCTGATGAAGAAAATGAAGATTGGGAGAAATGGGTTCCTGATCCGGTTGATGCTGATCCTGGTAAATTATTTAATATAAAAAAGTATAGAGAATATTTTATAAGATATTATTTTTACATTATCTTTTTCAGCCAAATCAACGCAACGAAGGATGTCTGATATAATTTCAATGCTAGTTAATGTATACGGAAGTCAAGATTTATTTGTTAATGAATATCGCACGTTATTAGCGGATAGATTACTTTCTCAATTAAATTACCATACGGAACGAGAAATTCGTCATTTAGAATTATTAAAAAGAAGATTTGGAGAAAATCAGTTACATTATTGCGAAGTTATGTTAAAAGACGTATATGATTCTAAAAGGATAGATGGAAATATTCAATCGGATACTAATTTCAGTTTAGAAAAAGAACAGTTTCCGACATCTGCCCTTATATTGTCTGCACAATTTTGGCCACCGTTTAAAGAAGATTGGAAATTGGAATTACCTAAGGTTGTACAGGATCAGTTGAATAAATATGTTAAGGCGTTTGAAGCTTTAAAAGGAAATAGAACGCTTTGTTGGAAACCGCACTTAGGAAATGTTAATCTTGAAATTGAATTGAAAGATAGAAAATTGGATATTAACGTGACACCGATACACGCTACGATTATATTACATTTTCAGGATAAAAGTAAAATATAATCTAATAAATTATTTTTTCAATTTCATAACTTTAAAAATTTGATTATATACCATGTTATTTACAGAGGAATGGAATTTAGAAGAGTTGGCACAAGTGATGCATGCTCCTGCAACGGTACTAAGACGAAAAATAACATTTTGGGTTTCTCAAGGACTTTTAAAAGAAATCTATAATGACTTTTTCGTACTTCAAGAAGAAAGTTCATCGAAAAATAGAACTTTGCCAGATATCGTTGAAGAGGAGGAAGCTGAAAGTGCGATGGCTTCTGCGAGCGATCAAAGAGAAGAAGAATTACAAGTTTTTTGGTCGTACATCGTTGGAATGTTAACTAATTTGGATTCTATGCCGTTGGAAAGAATTCATCAAATGTTAAAAATGTTCGCCTCTCAAGGCCCAGGCGCGGTTGAATGTGGATTACCGGAATTAAGACAATTTCTCGATGGAAAAGTTAGGGAACATCAATTATTATTTTCTGGTGCTCTTTATCGACTTCCTAAATCGTGATAAAATTAATCTAACAATTTAATATTGTTATGGTTGAGTTTATAAACATAAATTGTATATTTGTTTTTTATATATGTATATATTTTTCGACATATAAAATAAAAATAAAAAGAGAATTATATGTATATATATTCTATTATCGCTTTCATTGTTGATTATTGCTGTTTTGAATTTATTTTTTATTTATTATAGATGATTTTATATATTAATTTGTTTATTAAAATTTGAGCGGATAGTATTACACGTTAGAATGATAATAAAAACAAGCAATACTGTGCAAAACGGCCTCATTTGAAAAAGAAAAATGTGTTGTTTCATCGAGACGATACGCCGTGTCACAAATCAATAAAAACAATGGCAAAGTTGTATGAATTGCTTCCCCATCCACCGTATTCTTCAGATCTGGCCCCCAGTGACTTTTTCCTGTTTGCAAATCTCAAAAGAATGCTCGCTGGAAAAATATTCAGCACTGATGAAGAGGTAATCGCCGAAACACTGAGGCCTATTTTGAGGCTGAAGAGAAATCATACTATAAAAATGGTATCGAAAAATTATATGACTGCTATAATTGTTGTATTGCTCTCGAAGGCAACTATATTGAATAAAAAAATTGATTTTTATAAAAAAAAAATATGTTTTACTATGTTAGCTTACGGACTTTTCAGCCCAACTGTTATGTACATAGATCGCAAAATGCACCATTATGTATGTATGTATGTATGTATGTATGTATGTATGTTTATATTTAAATATATCCATTTTCACATCGCAAATATTGCTACCAGAATAAAATAATACTTTAATAATGATGAATATTGTTTACATATATAATCAAATTAGCCCTTTGACTGCGGCGCGCTATCGTAGTAATCCATTAATATGAACGACACGATTTTCGCATGTCAGTCGCTGCGATTGTTTTTCTATTGACAGCTAACGAAAACAGATAATAGTGGCAAATAAAATAAAAATATGAATTTAAAAAAATTTTTTTAAAGTAATTTAGTTGCTATGTTACATATCAATAAATTCCATGTAAAATTAATCTGTAAAACAGCAATAAAGATGTGATAGTAAAAAAATACAGAGGACGAATATTTACGTCTTTCGAGTATATTGATGGATTTATGAGAGCGTATATATACGTCTTTAGCAGTCAAAGGGTTAGTCATATGAGATAAAGCTAAGTCATCGTAACTTGAAATTAATGAGCAACTTCAAACCATTATTTTTATTAGCATAAATTCTTATATACACAATTGTTATTTTTTTAATTATTATTGCCAATAATATTTACGAGTAATTCACAATAATTCCTTCTCATTGATCTTTTAATTAAAAAATTCACAGGGTGCATGATTGCGTGTCATTTTGATCAATATTTTTAAACGTTGAAATAAATATTTTCATTATCTATTGCTCCTCAAAGTTCATTTTCATCGTAATAAAATATTAGACGACTTTTTGGTTAAAATAAAGCTACTTGATGAAGTTTTTGTTTTCATATATATTTATCTAAATTTGTATTTCTATATTCTTCTTTGAACACGATTTTTAGCACTTATATTTTATCTGTGCAAATGTAATAGTCCATTTTCGGTTCGATGTTTCCATTCTATTTTTTTCTATAATTGAGCAAAAACCGAAATGTGTTATTTTTTGTTTAAAGACGTTGCTGAGTTGAATTATATTGTAGATTGTGATATCTTCTTGTATTACATATTTTTTTTAGAAATATTTATCCTTACATCTATGCTTACAATTAATTATTAATTATAATATTATTTAATTAATTTATTTATTTATTCATTTATTTTGCAACGAATTGCAAATAATAAATTCTCGTGGATAATAATATAAAGTACTATAAGCATTTTTTTTAATCAGATCTTAAACAGAGATTTCAAAACAAATTAAAAATTATCTGCGATATTTCTGCTTACATATTAATATTGCCACATATCCTGCACATAGTTGTCGACAAGTATATATATATCAACAACGTTGAAATAAAATATGAAACTAAAAAATAGACATAATAATAATAATAATAATAATAATAATAATAATAATAATAATAATAATAATAATAATAATAATAGTAATAATAATNTAATAATAATAATAATAATAATAATAATAATAATAATAATAATAATAATAATAATAATAATAATAGTAATAATAATAATAATAATAATAAATTTCGATTGAGAGAAAAAAAAAGAAAAGAAAAGAAAAACTATTTAATCCTAACGCAATAAAAAAAAATACTCAGATTATATATATAACATAATTTCTAACAAAAATTGCTTGTCCGTATAAATCATATAATTTCTTAGATATAATTTATATGTGCACATGTATATATATATTTGTATAAATATATATTAAAGTAAAGGTACCAGTAGTCGACCGATTTTTAGAAAAACATAAAAAAAATAAGGTTTATATGAGTTATGCACTTTTCGACACGTTTTAAACTTTTGGTCAATTTCTGAATTTTTAAAAATAGTTTTTCTATTTAATTTAGAAGGCTTAAAAAAACTATTTTTAGATATCGATTCTCGCTATTTAATGGTAGAGGAAGTGGTTACTATTGTTTGCATGGAAGAATTTTTTTAACTGATCAACTACTAGTATTTTTACTTTAAATAAGTATAAATAAATAATGCCTAGAAAATGATTTACAATTTCAATTATAATTTCTTATATATGAATAATAAATGTAATTTTGAGAACAAAAAATCAAGTAAATGCTTAAAACATTCGACGTATATTATATTAACGATAAAAGTCAAGGCATTACTTATTTATACTATTTAATACATTCGTTACCAGTGTTGCACATTTGGGAGACTTCGATTTTTCTTTTTACATTCGATTTTTTTTTCTTCATACATTTGTGACGCTAATCAATGATAAAAATAAGTTCTGGGTTGTGATTGGAATCTCTTACCCGCGATTTGTGGTAACGAACGTGTTACATTTTTAATTATTTCAGTAAATATATATAATGTATTGGTAATCGCATAAGAGCACATATAGAGAATGACATTTCTATTGTAACATGTAATATACGCATAAGTGTTCATAAACAATTATGCGTATATAACATAAACAAATATATGCAAACTCTTCAAACCTTATAAAATAATAATATTTATATAAATATAAGACAATATGATATATATTTCTATTGATTACACGTATGCGATAATAAAATAATCAGATATTATTTCACATGAGTTTAAGTAGATTTCAGATCACTTTTTTTTCTATCATAGCTGTGTACTTTTTAGCATCTATGTACAAGAAAGACAAGCTATTTGTGTCTCTTGAAAAGAGACATACCTTTCTTCTCTATCTCGACAATCTCAGAAAATATTTCAACTGAACGACGAGGCAAAAAATATTACATTTTTAAGATTTTAAACTATACAGAGAAATAAATGTGTACTAAAAACTCTTATAAATTACATATACATATGGCAGACCTAAAATTTAACAAAGTGCAAATTAATATATGATGTTAATCAATATTAAGTAAATCAATCAATCTCTCATGCAATTGTTCTCCTGCACATATGAACATATACATACAAGATTGTGTATGTATGTATGTGTATTTATATATCTTAATATAATATATAATATAATAATAGATAATATAATATTTATATATATATATAATATGATATAATATAATATATTAATAATAATAATAATAAAAATAATAATAATAATAATAATAATAATAATAATAATAATTTTGCAGCAAAAAGTGATAACAACAGATCTATCTTTTATTCAATATTATTGCTCATTGCATTTTATCATCGTATAAAATCATACGCAATTATAAAAAGCATATGCCTCTTGAATTGCCCCTTTTATTTTGTTATATTTTTAAATGATTATGATAAACTTAAAAATTTCTTATACGGCATAATTTTATAAACTCAACAAAATTTTATAACGACGTTATTATAATTACTTTTAGTAACTACATAATTACTGTTATATAGTAACTATATAACGTACTTAAGTATAAAAGTACGTAAAGTACTTTTTTTTTTATACTCTAACATAATATAAATCTTATTTATGCATACTCGTTAACATATGCAACGCGTACATACAAGTTTTCCCGTATTACGGACAAGAATACTTATAAAATTTATAGTCCTTGTTATTACAATTTATAATTTTACAGTCAAAAATCTTTTACGAAATCTAACAATAAATCTAATCATTGATATGTAAAAAAAAAATCATACGAGAAAGAAAAACTGTAATGTATCATCAAACTTTGAATTTTGGCACAATTAATATGTGTATTCATATACCACCTCTAATATCACTCGTTTAAACTTCCACTTATTTCAAACAAACGGGACGAATATAATTAAATCATTTGAATTATTTCATTAAAACAACATATTTTATGTCTTTTCAACACACAGAGGTAATTTGATTTAAAATAGTTTTTACCTGTTCTTCGTTTAACTTTCCTCTTGCGTGGATACCTGTTTACTGTGTATGTTAGAAATTAGAAATTAGAGATTAGGGGAAAAAAATCATTAACGCTCTCCACACGATCTGCATATATAGTATTTTGTTTCTTTTTTCTTTATCTTTTTAAGTTGATATACCGTTGCTCGCTTTTTCATGTTGTTGCTACATTAGTAGCAGTAAGTACTGTAAAGCCAATATTTATTAATCTCGCCGCCGCTCATGGAAAACAATGTTTTCTTTTCCTAATATGTGTTTAAATCTATTATTAATCCTGTTTTTTTTTCTATTGAATTTTATAGAGTTCACCGACCATCGACTACATCGTTATTATTCAAGTTTAATCGTTCCCAATTTTACCTTCATTGTTCAGTGTTATTTATTATGTAACCATTTTGCTATCTTTTAAGAAAAAACAGTAAAAAAAATATTTAAAAAAAAAAGAGATCCGAACATCTAATTTAGTACCAACATCCGAGTTGTTATTGTTATTATCATTGTTTGTGCATAAAAAAAAAAATAATATAAAAATTACATTAGGTTCGTCC